TGGGGAGACAGGAGAGGTCTGTGGCTCCCCGTGGATCACCTTCCTGGCTGGGGATGGAACTTGGGCTCCAGAGGCTGCAGATGGCTTCACAGTGTGGTGCTTAACCCCTTCCCCACCAGGACGGCCCCTAGTAATGCTTTTATATCAGCTTCAGGTAAGGGGATTTTTAAGAATGGTTTAAAAAATAATCTTTCCCAGAAATTTAAGCCACTTTGTTTGGCCTTTTAATGACTAGCGGATAACGTAGGGTCACAGTATTTTGGGCGAGGAGGAGGCATTTGTCTGCATCTGTGTTTATTTGGGAGCCATCCCGCCAGTGCCTGCATCTGGGGGGCCATTGCCTCTGGGACCCCCTGCGCGCCCAGCCCCACACAGCACACCTGGCTGCACCTGTGCGCTACTGCACGTGCACGCTCGTTCAGGCCCTTCTGGCCCATACCTCCGGGTGAGGTTCGGCTGGGGTGAGCCTCGTCCCTCAGGAACCCGGTAGGGGCGCCTCTGCCCCTTGACCTGGGGAGCCTGCAGCAGGGAGCAGACTGGTGAGGCCCAGGGAGGGAAGGCACTTGGGCTCGGGGAGGCACATCTGGCCTGCATCCTGGTTCTTGTATAAATAAATAAATCTTTTTTTTTTTAAATTAGCCTTTTTCTAAAGAGCTCTTTAGTTACCATTTATCACGTGTGGGATATCTCATACAACTGCAGTTTCACTCATAGGCCAAAGTAACAAAAACAAGCAGAGAAAAGAAAAAAATCTCAAAGTTAAAAACAAAAGTTAAAAGGAAATACCAAAATCAAGATTGAATGCCTTTCTGTGTAAAAAAAATACTGGCAGCATATGCATGATCCTAGATGTTATTTCGCATCTCCTAAACTTTGAAAAGAAGATTGGTTAGAACATGTTAGTTTTCTCAGGGTTTCTTCAGAAAAAGTGAGTCCTTGGGTATCCTGCAACAATAACTGGAAAAGAAGTCAGTAATATTCAAGTTTTTGTCTGTTTTTTAAACAAATATCTCAAGTCCTCAATGGGTTCACAAGATCAATGGGACTTTGTCTCTGGGTCAGTTCCTCCTGGGGCTTTCTTTAGATCTAGTGGAGCCTTTGGGCATCCCTATTCTGCATCTGAACCTTATCTATGAACTATCATTTGTCTCCTCTCCTCTGCACTGGGCTCTAGATTCCTTCTACTCTGTCTATATTCCCTCCTATCTTCACCTGAGGCTCTACCCTGTGCTGCCATTTGTCTCCTTCCCTCTGTACTGGGCTCTTGATTCCTTCTCTGTCTGTATTCCCTATCATCATCTGAGCCTCTACTCTGTGCTAAAATTTGTCTTCTTTCCTCTCTCCTTGGTTCCTGGTTTTGTGTACTCCTATATTCGCTCCTGTAACCCCTACGTGAATCATCATATTGTGGGGTTCTCTGTCTTCTATCCTGCCTTCTATAATTATTGCGTCTGCCGCTTCCCTGTAATCTGGGACAATTGTACTTCCAATGTCCCTCTTCCCTACAGAAAGCACACTGATTTCTTCCTAGGGGTTCGTGTCTCTGTCCATTATTGTTTCCCTGAAACCCTGTTCTGTGTTCTCTTTGTAAGAAAACAGTCACAGGTTTCGGTCTCCTGTCCTCTCTATTATTATAAACCCTAAATGCCAAGTCCACTACCTGGGACGGACTCATCTCTGTGACGCCATCCACCTTAGCTAACTTTTTCTTTATGTCTGGGGCACTATGGGTAATGAAAGCCATAGTGATCAGACGAGCATTTTCTGGGGCATCTGGGTTTATATCTGTGTGGTTAGTGTAAGTTTGAATAATTCTCTCAAGGAACTCTGACGGATCCTCATTAGCTCCTTGCTCGAGTTGCAATATTTTGTAAAAGTTCTCTTGTTTGGGGATCCCCTGCTGCAGTCCTATCAATAAACATTTTTTATACAGCTCCAGCATTGCCGTTCCTCCATTATTAGGGTCCCATCCAGGATCTTTCTCTGGGACAACAACCTCTGGCTCTGGGGACTGCCTATCCTGTTAGTGGAGACGGTCAGCCTCCTCCCTGGCTTTCCTGAATACCATTCTCTGCTCATCCAGAGTTAATAAAGTATGCAGCATGGACTGTATATCTGCCCAGTTAGGGCGGTGGGAGACGAAGATAGAGGCAAACAAGTTTGCCATCCTCTTAGGAGCCTGCCGGTACGAGGGAACAGAGCTCCTCCAATTTAGGAGGTCCGCAGTATTGAAAGGATGGTGCGACCAAAAGTACCCAGCAGATCTCCCATGTTCATTTAAGCCACCCATTGGCATCTGGCAAAGGGAAACTGCCCTGCCTCAGGGTGATCCTTCCTGCCAAAATGGGTGCCGAGTCTAGTGTGGAGAGGAGACGCCATTTTGGTGTCCTCCCCAGAGGGCAGTGGAGGCTGTGAAGCCTCAGGAGTCTGCACGGGAGGGGCCTTGTCACATGGAAGAGGATTTTGTCCTGATGTATTTAAAGTATTTAAAATATGATGCTCCTCCTCTTCTAACTCTGCCCACTGACAGTCCTCATGGAAAGGGGAAGGTTTATCCTTTCTCTGTGTCATCAGCCAAGCCTCCGCCATATATCCAATTTATGGAGGGTGGCCTCTATCCTGTCCTGCATACTTTTAAAGGCTTGATCTTGTATGCTTTTATAAACTGACTCAAAGATGTTATGGTTCTCATCCCTCATGCACTTAATAGTTAAATCAAAGGCCTGATTTTGTTGTTGTATGGTCACATTAAAAGCCTGAATTTGTTGTTGCATGGCTAAGTTAAGAGCCTGAATGTGTTGTTGCACATTCTCAGTATGTAAAGTAGAACATCTACCTCTCACAGAAACAAGAATGTAGCAAATTGCGCTTACACATATTACCAAAAAAAAACACTCAGAAGCACAGACTGTAAAGGGATGGCTTGTAAACCACCCATGTATATATACAATAGTAAAATCACGTGCCATACACCAGGCTTCATCAAATTATTTACATTAATGAAACTGGTGGTGATATTTAATGGAAGAAGGCTACTTAAATTTAAGGCCAGAAGGAAACTGAAAAAAACTCAGGCTAGGGATGAAACTGTATAGGCTCATGGTTGAGGCCATATTTGAGTCAAAAATGCACCCACAAGGGCTGTACGCACAGGGTAAAAACAAACTTTCAGGACTTGAGACAAATATTATACTGTGAGTCCTGCAGAACTAGTGTGCTTATGGTGACCAATGCAAGGAATGTTACTCTGGGCTGGTCAACCACGGGTGTAACTTGGAAACCACGGTGGGTGCCAGACTGTTGTAGAGCAACCCCGATACAAAACGGGGTGCCTGACTGTGGGTCCTCACCTGTGCGCTTAAAAGGACTTATCAACACTCTACTGCAGGCACACACAAAAGGTTAATAAAAGGTTTATTTATAAGGGAAGGGGAAATGAGGAAATGTACAGCTCAGGGAGAAAAGTGGGAGACAAAGTTTTAAAGGAGTCCTATCCGATCTGCCGATCAGGAATCCCAAATGGCGCTCAGAGCTGGCTGCAAGCCAGGAGCCATGAAGCCAGGAGGCGAGCGACCGTGAGCCCCCCAAAGCCCACGTGTTTGGTTTTTATATCCAACCTGGCTGCCCAACTCTAACCTCAGGTCCCAGCCACCCTCCCTTTGGTGGTGATGGGATTTGTCTTTCCCAATATCTTGATGGCTTTAGTCTGGACTGGGAGTGGAGTCCACAAAGCCTGTATGGGATTAGCTCAGGACATCATTTTTCCCTAACACTACTCCCCGCTCTGGTTCTGGTGAATACTCTCACTCTCCCCCGCTTCTGACTGTACCCACTGCTTGTATAAATAAATAAATAAATAAATCTTTTTTAAAAATTGAACTATTTCTTTTAATACACACACACACACACACACACACACACACACACACACACACACACACAGATATATCCCAAATTCTAATATCTAAATCCAGAGTCCCCGCAGAAGGGCGATACCGACTAGTTCTCTTCTCCAAATGAGCGAGAATCCCTATTGTGAGACTTAGCCACTATTTCTCCATTTTGTGTATAACCGCCATTTTAGTATTTTAAGTTTTGCTTACTCAAGACTAATTAGCCTGCATTCCAAAGAGGGTTTATGACCCCCACCCCACTCTGGTCTTATTTCTGATGGCCAGCCACAGTGGAGTCGAGTAATGGGTCTAATTGGCCATAAAATAGAACTGAGCAATGCAGGCCACTGATGGGGTCAAACTAGCCATAAAATAACTGTGTACCCACCATTATTAAGAAATGCACCTGTGTAATCAATGAATGATGCACCTATGTAACTAATGAATGACTGCCAACATGATTTAATTTTTAGAAATCTACTTGTATCCCTATATAAGATCCCTGTCTCCTTTGTTCAGGGCTCCCGACCTCCACCCTTACATCGGTGCGTGTCGAGGGCCCGGTCTCGAGCCCATAATAAACTCCTTTGTGTTCTTACAGCGGTTGTCTGTGTGTCCTTGGGGGCTGCACTGGTCGACGCTGGGCACAACACCTATTTCAGAAGGTTCTTGCCTCCACGTTATTCTATCTCCCCATCTTCAGGGCTCTGACGTCACACACTCCCGTTCCTGCTCCCCCTCTGAGCGGCCCCCCACGGCTCTCTGGGCTGCTTCCCCTCCTCGCCCAGCTGACTCGCCCCTCAGCAGCGACCAGGTGACCCCTGCGCCTCCCGCCGGCCCTGGCGTCTCCGCCCGCCAGGGTCCCGCCTCGGCCGCCCCGCCCCTCCGCGCCACCAGGCCGCGCGTGCTGCTGCCCCGCCCCTAGCCCCCTCTCCCACTGCGAGCCTCTCCGTCCTCGGCCTTGCCCCGCCCCCTGCGCGTGACGTCCCGTCCCGGCGCACTGACGCGAGAACGCGGCGGGAGCGGAAGTGGTGGAGCCCCGGCCTCCAGGAGCGCCCAACCCAGAGAGCGGGCCGCGGGCCAAGGCAGGAGAAGCCCCGGGGGCGAAGCACAGGAGGCGGGGAAGTGCGGGGAGAAGCTGAGCAGGTCAGGGGAGGGCGAGGACATCTCCCTGCCCGCGGCTGACGGACGAGCGGTGAGTCAGGGGACCCAGGGCTGGGCGGGCGGGCTGTGGAGAGCTCTGCGCGGGTCATTGGGGTCCTGGAGGAACATGGGGGTCAGGACATTCCTGAGTGTGACCCTGTGGGTGCGCGGCACCCCTGAATCCCCCGAGTTTGCTCCCAGCGCCTCCCTGCTGCACTGATCAACCCCCGGATGGGTTTTTCTGGGCTCTCGGTTCTGTTCCATTGATCTGTGTGTTTTATCTTTGTGGACTTAGGATATAATTTGGAGAATGTATTGTAAACTTTTCTGGGGCTGACATCCCCCTCCCCACGCCAGGTCCAGCAGGCAGGAGGGCAGAGCCAGTCCCAGTCTCCCAGGGTGCAGGTTCTGACCCAGTGGGTTGCATGGTGCCTGGGGCTCTGCAGATCTCACGGGGTCTGAGATGCTGCCCGTGCTGGGCCTGGGCCCACGTCTGAAGGGTGAGGCATCACTTACCTGTTGTCCAGCTGATGTGGCCATTCAGAGCCTGGAAGAGGGAACTTTGACACCTAGAAACTGCCTCATGAGGCGACATCAGACTCCCCTTGAATAGAACCAGGCTTTCTTGAGCCTTGAGTGACCAAGAGCCACTCGGCTGCCACACTCTGGCTACAATGTCTGGTTTTCAAAAATGGGTTTGTAGTCACCATTTCAGTGTATTGAAACCTGTGACCATCTCTTTATCACTAAAGGACACCCCCAAGATTCCCACAGCAGCTGGATACTATCACCAATGGGGATGGAAGGTCCTTCATGGGGAATCATCTGAGACACGGAAGGGCCCATTCCTAAGCTCTTGAGGTCTTTTCTCTACTGATACCTGGCCCTAAGAGGATCCCTCCTGTATTAGAGCGTGAATAAGCCACAATCACTCATTCACCTGGGAAGTGGACATTTTGTCGATAATCTTTTTAATATTTATAATCTGTTAAGCTGATATTACCTCCTCGATCATAAATCCTTTTATGCTTGCTTTGGAGAGAAGTTGAACAGGTCGGGGAAGGGGAAAGAAATCGATGTTTATTGAGCACCTGCTGGAAATTACCTGACCCTGTGCAACAAGTTCATTACTTTAGTTATGTGATCTCACTGATGGCACTGTAGAGACACTCCTACTCCGTAGTTGAGAAGCCTAAGGTCCAAAGGAGACAAAGAACTTGTGTTAAGATCATACAAATAAGGACAAAAATCAGGGATTTTTGGTCTACATATTTTCAGCCAAATCAGAGATTGTCAAATGAGGCTAAACTGTAAACCCCCTGAAGGCCAGCTGGAGGGGAGGAGTGTGGGCAATCCTGTCCATCCTCAGAGCAGCTCCATGGGTGTTGGGCTTCCTCCTTCATAAGGAAAGAGCCTCAGATTAAAATAAAAGTTTAATGTATCATTGTGTTACATGCAGATGCTGTCTTTAATGTTGCACATGATTTCCTTAATAGTTTTAGAAATAGCTCTAATCCCAAATGTGATTGCTACTCATAAGAGACTGCATTTCCAAATAGCCTTTTTTTGTAATTATTCCCATACAGCAGGCTTAGCTGCTGTACCTACCAGAGGGAATTCCTGGAGATCTAGAACAAGTGATAAGAAAGCAATGCCTCAGCAGTGCCTGCAGTATTATTCAGGATAAGACCACCCCCTTTGATTGTTAATGATTTGATCTATCTCATCTATAGAAGTGGGAAACACACTAGAAGCAGTGACTGGTGTCCTCAGGATGTAGGTATTCATGGTGATTGTTTTGTTATTCATGATTCCTCTGTTGACAAGTTTTTCAGTGAACTTGTGTCATTTTGTGATTAGATTTTAAAAAGTTTATGTAGTTCTAAAGTTTTGATTCTTGCACATTGCTCTTAGTAATTTTCAGTATTGAAGAGCACACATCCATTCTTTGAAATGATCTCGATTATGTTTGTCATTCCAATGAACTGAATGTGAAGTTGAGTGTGAAAATGTATGTCCTACTTTAACAAAATGCACTGGAGAGCGAGGCAGCACTCCCGCCTGCCTGTGACTGTGTAGGTGTTTCTTTTCACAGACCTTTTGTGTTTGCAGTTCTCTCTGCCTGCTGGTGTCTGTGCACTGTCCTGTACTTGCCTTCACTTTTAAATTGTCCTTTGGATATAAACAAAATACAAAACAATTCTCTGGAGATAAAAATAGGTCTATTTCATCGTGATACATGTTCTTAAACATATTGTGACAAGCGTTTCTCTATCCCAGCACCAGCTGTGATCACCTCCTATCTTCATTAGGTTTGCCATAGTGTGGGTAGGGCCAGCTCCAAACAGCAGCCTTAGCAAAATAAATTTCTTTTCTATAATAGGTGTACTTACACTGCACCAAATAAAAGGTGGTGCAGGCACACCTCGAAGATATTGTTGGTTCATTTCCAGAATACCACAACAAACCGAATATTGCATAAATAAAGTCATTACTTTTTTGTTGGTTTCCTGGTGTGAATGAAAATTGTTTGCTCTATATTGTCATCTATTAAGTATGCAGTAGTATTTTGTCTAACGAGAAAATAGCCTAATTAGGTATCACCGAGACATGAGGTGAGTATATGTTTTTTGGGAAATGGTGCTGCTGGACTTAGCCCAGTCCAGGTTTCCACACATCTTCAATTTGTGAAAAGCAGTATCTGATAAAGCAAAGCAAGCAGGATGGGGTGTGCCTTTATAGACACTTCTGAGAACAATCCTTTGGGTTTTAATAAAGTATACACATCTGGATAAGTGGACTTCAATTTAATGATGATGTCTATACGTAACTATTTTTTTCAGCAGTGATGTCAGCACGGGAGGGTGTGTATTCTTTTCCATGATAGAAAGTACTCTGAACACTCAAGATAGTGAACAAGGGTTAGCTAAATGCCTGCAGTCTGCCAGGGACTGGGCTATACACATAGCCTCTTTAAAATTTATTGTGGTCTTTTAAAAATGTCAAAAACTTATAGCTATCATTGGTTGAATCTCAGTTGTAAGTAGAAAATAGGGAGTTTAGTTTTTATTATGCTATTGAACAACTACATAGGAAGCACATATGACTTGGCTTCTGCCTAAGTTCTTCCCCAGGCTGTAAATCCATGTGTCTGCAGTGAGGTAGCCAGTACTCCCTGCCACCACACTCTGATCATTTTGCTCCCCAAACTGGACATTACTGTTGACATTTGGGATCATGGTACCACTGCTGTGCTTTATTGTTTTGAATCATTGGTGTATTGTTATTTAGTTTTTTAAACATTTATTTATGCAGAAAAGATCTGGGGCACAGGCCAGAGAAGCAGGGGGTAGGAGGATCACGAGAGACAGAGCGGAGAACAGAACAGGCAGACCAATTGAAATACACAGCTGAAGGTAGCAGCGAGTGAGACAAGAGAGGTCTGCCTTGCCAGGTGGGCTGCCCTCTGGCTGGCCAGGAATTAAACTCATGCTGCAAAGGCTGTGGACCCTCTCATAGTGCGGTGCTTAACCCTGTGTGCCACCAGGGTGGCCCTAGATTTATTTTTTTAATATTTTATTTTATATAATTCTTAAAGCATTCATATTTTTTATTTTTTATTTATGCTTTTTTATTTATTTATGCATACAAGAACTCTACCAATTTCTAATTCAAAGTTTGTTTTTATTTTTGTTTAATGATTTATTTTTGTGTAGAAGACCTGGCGTGCAGGCCAGCAGTGTGGGGTGATGAGAGGATTTACCAATGGCATAGTGGGGAGCAGAACAGATGGATCTACTGAAATACACTGCTCAGGGGAGCAGCAGGTAATACAGGAGAGGTCTGCTGTGACCTCTGTGGGTTGAACTTAGGTCATATTGTGAGCCATTGTGGTGATAGTGGTGAGACTTAAGCCCTAGTCTACCAGGGAGGCCTTCAAAGTTTGTTTTGATGTTGAATAAGCATAATTATTTGTTGAGCTCATTTAATGTTATAGAATACTAATATAGATGTTCAAAAGTTAGTTTTGAAGGTGCACGAAAAATATTTTCATTATGGATCTGATGGTCGGTATTGTCTCGGGGGCTTGTAAATGTTATCTCTGAGACCTGTGGAATTGGTCGTATTCTTTAGATGCAGACTTTACTATTTGAGGCCAAATGAAAAATTGGCATCTTTGATAGAATGGAAGATGTAGTGATCATTTAATTTTACATTAAATAATTTAGAATATTATAATAGCTAATATTCAGAATCATCTGGAATAATTGGAGTGCTGAGTCTGTGTGGGTGACTGTGGCATTATTTTCTTTCTGAGTCCAGGATAATGTATGTGCTATTGCTTGGAAATCCTCAGTGGCCACTTTGTTTTGGTGGGTTTCAAGTGAACCTCCTCTGCTGTTTGTTCCCAATATTTGGTGTTGAGTTTTCATGGTTTCCATATTGTGGAAAATAAGCTAAGGTCATACATGTAACAATACTAAAAGTAGCCTTTCACTTGGGTCTGCAGGTAATGAATTTTATAGAACAACTTGTAGGGTGCTTATTCATCATTAGTGTACACGGAAAGATGGTGACAGTTGCAGTGGCAGGTGCCTGTTTTCCTTAAGTCCAGGAAGAGAACAGGAAGAATCTTTACAATTCAAAGATTATTGTTTATGGATCAATAATTTTTGTACAAGCTAAGCAGCCTGAGGTCTGAGCATCCCTAACATACAAATGCTACGTCCATATTTAAGGAAGATAGTTTTTTTCTGTTTGCAGTGTATCTGGGTGTTTCTGCTGAAATGAGTAAGTCTCATGTGGCCCTGTGTGAACCACCGATATTAAAGAATCTGTAGACGGTACCTTAGTTAGGATTGCAGGAAAATCATCAAGGGTTAGAACGAGTGCTCATTGTGTATGGTTCACTTAAATGTCTGTAATGAAAACTTGCAGGTTTCACTGATTAGGGATGAAAAAGGTTGTGGCTGACACCCCAGGCTGCCAAAACTGCTGCGGCCTGTGTGCTCATGAACAAAAAAAGGGCACTGAGAAGCCAGTGTCTTGTCT